AAATCATAATATACATATAGTATACGTATATACATATACCATAAAAGTGAATCACTATCTATCTTCTATATCCTGTCTTAACAAGATCTTTTAAACTCCCATTAAATACATATTTATACTCGCTCATTCTCATTTACGATGTTTAAACAAGAAACAAGTGTTACGTAAAGGTCGTATAGATAATTAATAACCATAAGGACATAAACTCTAAATCTGTAAACTATACGCCATAAATATCCTTAATTGATCGATTTACGAACGCAGCATGCGTCGAAAGTTGTTCGATGTAATAGTTGAAAGAGTGGGGATAGCGAAGGAGTGAGAAGGAAGGAAAAAACAGGAAGGAAAGATAGACGAGTCGGAGAACTCCGGTCGATAATTCGTAGGTTTATATTCGTCTGCAGTCGCTGCATCGGTCGTGAAAAATTTATTTGTCTAGCCCTCGTAACATTTTTGCAGTTGGACAGGATCTAACAAATAATTCGTCTCGCGCTTAAATAATATATCGCGATTCCAGACTCGCTTCTCTTAGTAAGAGAATATGTCTACGTACCCTATGACCTTGAGTCCATAAAATGACAATTTTATTACGGTCTTTCCCAGACGGCCACCTAATACACTTGTAGCTGTGCTCGTATAAAATATGTTTTCGTATAAAATGTTTTTTGATATAAAAATGTTTTACAAGTTTCTCTGGAAATAGTTTTGGAAATTTAAATTGAGAAGTACGCTAATAATAAGAAGTTTAAATATAAAAAACTCCAATGTGTTTAATTATATTTATTTAATATATGTCTAAAATATATTGTACAAGAATGAATAAACGAGATAATATATCATATTTTGGTGAAACATTTTATTATTTAGAACGCATATTATAAATGAATGATTAAATTGAGAAAAACTAAAAAATAAATTGAAAAAAGAAAATTTTCAAAATGAAATTTCCATAAACAAATAACTATTTGAAAATTTGTCCCATTTTTTATTTTTTAAAATTTCTAATACAATCTAAATAGATTGTAACTATTTATTTCGATTCCTGATTGTTATTAATTAATGAGGGAAAAAGAAGACAAAAGATTCATTTGTTAATTCTGCTCGTTTATGTTAATTTTTAGCCAATGTACCTATATATAACCTTATCTTTCAAATTTAATATATCGCCTTCCCTCTCTAAAGGTTAAAAATCTATTTTAACTTTTCTTCAGCTCTGTGAATATATATATTTTCATGGTATATATATATATGTAAATGCAATGTGTGATCTTTTGGTAAAAGCTAACCCTATTCTAGTGATAAACAAACAGTATATAAAGCACGAGAATAGTTTTTTTTTTTTTTCATCTTTTAAAACTCACAGTGTAAACTCAAAAGAAAGAAATGAATTTTAATAGATACAGCGATGGAGTTAATTTTCATGAAGCGCGTGTAAATTTTTCGTTGATGGAAGATCAAACAGAGATCGTCGTGTCTAGTTCTCTAACCCACCTTTCAAAAAAGTGAAAGAAGGAGGGGAAAAAAGAGAAAAACTGTAACTCTGCTTGTCGACCAAACTCAGCCCGCCTTTTCCTTTTCATCGAGCAGAGACGCGATCTTCGTATCTCTTCGAGAGGTGTTTGCTGAGCAAAGATTATGATAAAGCTGAAGCAACTCGGTAATGTTGACGTTGCCTCGTTGCACTGGACCCAGCACAGTTTGCCGTTCACGGATAACGAGTTAAACACGATAACGCTTTACCGTGACGCCGACGATGATAAGTAAATTAGAAAGAAGGCGGTGGTACATGGCAAAAAAAAAAAAAAAAAAAAAAATTCTTCAAACGACCGACAGTGATTCAGCACACCAAAGTTAATTATTTTTTTCAAGTTTAGTTATTCTATTAAATTTTTTGTCAGTATCCAAGTATATAGATCGATTTGCACTTCAGTCAGATTAAGTTAGGTTAGGTTAGGTTAGGTTAGATTAGGTTAGATTAATTAAAGAAATTTTCGTAACGATTGATATCGATTCAGATATCAAGATTGATGATTTTTTTTCACATTTAATTAATTTGTTAATCCTTAGGGCAATAATTTGTATCAGTTAACAGGTTAATTAATAAAATTTTCGATCGATTGATTCGAATGCAAAATGTTGCAAAATTAATGATTTTTTTTAGAGTTTAATTAAATTATTGATTCTTGTGTCAATATCTAAATGTGAGGATAATTAAGATATTTGTATAAAATATTTTTTCTATTCGCTTCTATTTTCCAATGTATTCAAAACTAATGTTTTTACTATTAATAGATATTTCTTTTTGTAAAATGATAAAATTATTTTAACATTGAAAATAAAAAGAGTTTACACTGTGAGTTTTAAAAGATAAAAAAAAAAAAACTATTCTCTTTATATGTGCTTTATATACTGTTTGTTTATCACTAAAATAAGGTTAGTTTTTACCAAAAGATCACATATTGCATCTACATTATCATGTAGATTAGATGTGATATACAACGATGATACGTAAAAGAAAAGTTTATTTAAATAAAAATTTGTTTTCAATTTAATTTTCAAATTAAATTGAATAAACTATTTTCGAAGTAAATTTCTCTAGAATTTTCATCGTTTTAATTTTCTTTCCATACTGTTTAATATACTTTAACGCGGATCGATATACCATTGTCGAAATTCAATCAAGCAGGTATATACATCTATGGTGTAATTGCACATAGTTCGGATCATAGGAACGGCTAGATGCACTACTGTGAAGCCTTAAGCGCTTCTACGTGACTTTTGTTGCAGATTGTGGCACGTTTCCTTGTATTCTGTTATTTCTCCCCTTATTAGGTCTTACTTAAAAGTTGTGCTTTATCTTCCTAACTAGATTGTTGCTTGTCTTGTGTTTTCCATTTTTTAACGACACGTATAATCAATTTAATAAATAATGGTGAAAAAGTCGATAAGAATATATTTCGATTACACATCTCGTTACTTCTTAAAATTGAGAACTTTGCAACAAGGGAAGAACAAATTTATGATAATTTTAGAAAAATTAATTTAGAAAATTATTTGTAGAATAATTATTTTGATTTAATAATTGCTGCTTTTACACATAATTTGGCATGTATATTAATATATATTCTTATATTTTATGTATATCATAAAATAATAATTAATTTAAATATGTTTATAATTTACTACAATAAACTATATATTTTCAATAAATATTTTATATTTTATTTGTTTATAAAATAATTGCTACATAATAATTGATAAAGTATATATTTTCACACAATAATTATTAATAATTCTTTATTTTGATCAGTTTTCTGTAGCGAAAATAAACAATAAAATATAATTTATTAATTCATTATTTTTTTTGAAAATTTCTGTTAAGTTTTAAATAAAATAAATCCAAATTTGTATTTTTATTAATAAATCGTTTCTTTTTTTTATCAACATCTTTCCACTTAGTTTATATCGCACGATATATAATTCTTTTTAATTATTATAACATTTATACAATAATTCGAACAGTGTCAAAAATAGATTTGGACGATGCAAGATCCTCGATTTGTTTGGAATCTGGATGGAGAAAATAAAAAAAAAAAAAAAAAGAAATATTCCGAATAAGAATCGAAAGGAAAGATGACTGTTTCGAAACGTGGCTTCAAAAGCCGTGTATCATTTTCCTATTAATCAGAGCGTTAACCGATTGTACGCGTCGAGAAGGTCTAAGGAAGTATGCTAATAGTGAGGATAAACGCGATATCGTCGAAAATATTTTCACTGAATGCCACGTTGGATTCTGGTAATATACATGTATACAGTATGTCTGAAAAATAACGTGATTCATTTTCTTATGCTTTCTGGAGACGCCATCTTGTTTGTGAAATTTTATAGGTTATGTATATTTATGAATTTTTCACAAGCAAGAAAATAATACGAGTGACAATGATGAGAAGTGATAAAGTAAATTGCATAAATTAAGGAAACCACCTTATTTTGTGTAGATTGTCAATTCGATTATTTTTTAAACATACGGTACGTGTATTGCTGATACAAAGCAAAGAAATTAATCGTTTCGCTACAAAAGACGGTACTTGGAAAAGAAGCGCAATTACCATGGCACTTCGTCTTTAATTAGAAACTATGCTAACAATAACATCGTGACTCGACTAAATCGTTGAAATTAAGAAAATTTGCACGTAGGCGAATCGCTCGTGCCTCTCTTTTAGATTTTAATGCCTTGTTTGTTAGTCGTATACCAACCGTAAACAATCGGGAGGAACGAATGTTTCCATTAGTTCCCGCCATTGATTTGGCGAAAGTAGACGAAATTTCCCTTGAGACATTTGCTTTAATGAAAGAATAGGCGAATTGTATTACTAAAGTTGGAGATGTTAACTAAATTCAAATCGAGATATCAAGATTTTGAATTTATTTAACAATGGTACGTATTACAATGGTACGTGTGAATTAAAGGTATTTGAACCTCTGTGTAATTTTTAATATTTATGTAGCCGTGTATTGTTTCGTGTGCATTTAACTTTTGCTCTCGAAAGAATTTTAATATTTTTTCCTTTTCGAACGAACACCTTAATTAAAAACTGGATTTAAGATAAAAATTGTACAATTAATAGGTTCAACACTATGGCAAGAGCAACATTAGAGCTATTATTTAATTTTTTTAATTATTATTTTTACTTTTGTATTTTTTAAATATTCAAATTATTATATTTCTTTACGTGATAAAGATTTGATCGATCTATTACTACTAAAATATTCATATTTTATAATTTCTTATTAATTATAATTTTTTCTATTTATTAAAAAAATATATTTTCTTGTTTTATTTAGTGTTCGTAGATTTCGAATCAGTTGCATCAAAAACTTTTGACTTTGTTATAATCTTAAAATCTAAAAATGATCTTAAAATTAATTTTTTATTTTTGCAAATTTTTTACATAATACGTAGAGATTCGTTGAATTTGAATGTGTTACAAGGAATCGTAATAGTGGGATTTTTTCTTGGCAATTAATGTATTTGAAACAATATAATTGAATTACGGTGACCAATAATCTCGTTGCGTGATGCAATCTCTGTAACGGTGCTTCGTGTACTCGTCGTTATTTGCTGGTTGACTGGGAATCCAAATGGTTTTCCGTCTGGTTACTGGTCATCCACCGATCAACTGTGAGATTATTGGATTGGTATCTTAATTCTAATGAATGTAACGATTGTTTTCAGCAAAATGTTAAATTCCAATATAAAATAACCAAATTCTCAATAAAATTATTAATATTTACAGCTTTACTGAAAATAATATTAATTAAAGTATTAATTGAATAAATGCAATATATTTTATTTATTCAAAAACAAGATTAATATTATAAACAAATTTTAATGTCAAAATTTATAAGAATTTCTAAAAAAGTTTCTAAAAGTTCAATTTAAATTTTAATATTTTTTTCCGAAGCTCATTCGATGAAAAAATAAAGCGAATGATAAATCGAAAGTTTATTACAAATTAAAGTTTTTCAAACAAAATAGAGGGTCGCAATCCATAAATACCAACTCGCCACATAATGCTGGGAACATATTCTCTTAATCATTGAGTTTTTTTTTTCAAACTCGTGTGATCATTTTACAAAAAAACATTTCTTCTTTCGTATGTCGATATTATTCAGTCGGTAACTTTCTCTCGTAGCTTTCGAGTTCGTTTCGGGGAGTGGCAATGATAAAAGAGAAAGAGTTCGCATAAATGTTCGATAAAATTATTTTGTATGTAGGATTAATTCAGTTGACGATACTCACAGTTCAATTCTTTTCATCTCTATGGTTATTTTAATCATGGAGAGTCGAGACGAGTCGGTGCAGCGGCAACGGTAAGTTGGCTTACAAGTCACGTTCTTTGTCTCGTCGTCCCATCTCTGACAATGCGGCTGGTAGACGCAAGACAGGCGATACAGCCAATCGTCCCAACCAAGTAGCAACGCGTGACGTGCTTCACTAGCTAACCGGCTGTTGCTGCTCCATACGCTACTGCGCATCTTATGGGACCTTGGCAGTGACCAGAAGTAAGAGAAACATGGCCGTATAGGGAATGTAGCGTGTAGTCTGAACATAAAAGACATTGTGTAAAGTTAATTTGTAGAATATAAAATTGGAAGGAAAAGAAAGTATATCTATCTTTTTCAATGTTAAAATTGAGAGTGTATTCTATAAAAAAATTTAGTAATTAATAGTGATATGATTGTCATTATTTGGAGAAAGTGTATATGTATTTATTTCTGTATCATTTGAAATTGCATATAATCGCTGGAAACATTGCAATCTTGTATCTTAGCGATTTGATAAATAATAATATATGAATATATTAATTATCTTTAATTAGAACCTACTATTAATTTTTAAGTCTTTGTATTTTTATATTTATTTGTTAGTAAATGTTTTCAGCAATTGTTTTCTAGTCTATACTTAGGATTATATTTTTTATTTAATTTTGAAAGATGATTAGAATGATTTAGAATATTAATTCTATTGTTTATTTTATTATTCCATTATATTTAGGATTATATTATTTTTACATAAATCTCTATATATATTTTATTACATTATATACGAAATAGATATATTTATATTTCTTTAAAAAATTTTTTTTTTAATTTCAAGAAAAGTATCATACTTAAGAGTGTTTTTTTCCAATTTTGACAAAATTTTTCTTTTCATCTTCGGTTTCAATTCCGCGAAACGAACGATACGACTTCAACTCTGACTAACCATGCAACCACACGTATGCGTTTACGTCTCGTTTTTCCAAACCTCGATCACGAGCCATCGCGACCGCCACTCTCCTGGAATTCTTTGTTCCGCGTTCACAACCTTCCGCACACTTCTCCTCCTCTTGGTACGGGTCAACGAACCGACCGAGCGAAACCGTTCGCGTTTGCTTTGAGATAATGGTATCGATCATCCTCGATATGGATAATACTAGAACGTCTGATTAAGCGATACCTTCGCTCCTGTATTATCGATATAATGTATAATAAGAGGACGAAAAAACATAAAAAACTGTTTATTCGAGCGGAGATATCAGTGTCTGGTATAATAATGATTTTAAGCCTTATATATTGCTATATATTATTATATATTGCTATATATATATTGCTATATATTATTTACAAAATAATATATAATAAAAAAGAATAATATAATACGTATAAATTACGTATAACATTATATCTATATAATTTATTTTTATTTTTAATTTATTTTATAATATAATATGTATCTTGTATATAATAACATATTGCTTACAAAAAATTGTATATTTGACTAAAAAGAAAAGTTAAGTATATATATATATTAATTTAGAATTGAGTTTCTTTTATAAATTTTTAAGCCTTTATGATCTAACTTTTAAATCTTTAAAAAATTTTTTATGTATTTATATAAATAAAAAAATTTATAATTTTTAGAATATGAAAAGAAAATGTTCATCATAACAATGAATTTTTAAGATATTCATCGTTAACTTGATAAGGAAATAATCCTTATCAGAAACAGAAGTTATTAATCAATTCAACAAATTATAGTAATGAAAATTATCGAAAAATTTTCTTTTCAATATGGAATTAAAAAACAAAAGTTAAAATCAAAAACATCTTTTTAAATCAAATCATTTAATGTAAATATTGTGTAAATAATATAAAAAAATGGCAAATTCTATTTTTATATATTGCTATATATTATTTACAAAATAATATATAATGAAAAAGAATAATATAATATGTATAAATTACGTATAACATTATATCTATATAATTTATTTTTATTTTTTAATTTATTTTATAATATAATATGTATCTTGTATATAATAACATATTGCTTACAAAAAATTGTATATTTGACTAAAAAGAAAAGTTGAGTATACATATATTAATTTAGAATTGAGTTTCTTTTATAAATTTTATTGCCGATGCAACATTGTAACCTAAAAAAATTAATCATATTAATTTTAAAATATTCTGCATTTACTTTCGAGGCACACTTCACTTTTCGAAATACAAATTACGAGATTTCCAAAGAAACGATGGAATTTTCACGAGCGAATAAACGCACGGGTGTTGTACAAACTAGAGCAAACTAGAGTAGATCAAAGACGCCGGTTAACCGAGTAGTAGTTAACCACTCGACTGGCAATCGGTCTCCCCTATAGAACCTTGACAGTGACAATCACCCATGCGAACCAAGTTATCTCTTTATAACACGGTGATTTCTTTGCCGTATTTATTTTTTTATATGTCGAAATCTTAATCTTTATTACATGATATTCAACTATATTAATTCTCCGTAATTGAAATATCTTATCTCATTTAACATTTTGAAATATATGAAAATTATAATTTTTATCATTTTTGTGATGTCTTTATTAAGAAAAATAAATTGAATTTGATTCCAAATCTTCAAAATGCACGTAGGATTTTCTAATCATATTTCTTCTAATCATATTTAAATATTAAAGAATTATGTACATTTCAATATGAAAAATAAAAAAAGATTAGATTTTAAGAGGACAGTATAATTAATATATAGTCAGATGTTGCATTTTAGTCTAATGTGAATTTCAACTTAGTCCACGTTTGTTAAAATGTATATATCCTTCTGTGCTACGAAGCTTATACTGTTCTTCCACACATCTGGAGGATTATTTCTACCATTCTTAGAATGGTGGGGGATCCTCTTAAACCCAGTGAAGCGAATAATTTCACACGGCCAATACAACATGAATTTCTTTAAATGTTTGTTCTCTATTCTTCTTCGTCTTCACTAATTATTATTTTCTATTCCATCGTTAGCAAAGAAAAGTAAAACTAGAATTTTATATTTTTAGTAACTACCATATTATATAATTTGCAATTAATTTCGAATTAAACTTATCATATTAAATTTAAATTGCATTAAATTTTAATAAATTATTATGCCAATAATGGAATCATTAAATATCATTTTCTATGATTTTGTTCATAACTTTGTAAAAAATTTTTTAAATATAATTCAAACTATTTTATTAATTTATAATAATCTATATATTATATTATATTAGCTTATAACAATTTAAAGATTAACCCTTATATTATGCACAATCGTGTATCTATTTCACTTTAATATTCTTTTTTATATTTTTAACAAAATGTGTCAAATCCTCATTCTTTAAATTTTACGTTTAAAAGCTGTTTTTACTTAAATTTATATTCTGCAATTTTTAAAATTTATCGTTAAAAATATAAAAAAATTATTTACAAAACGAAGAATTAACACAGAGACTCATAAACCAATTAGTTGAGTCAAAGCAAGGTTTTGACGAAACGTAGAAAAGGCGATAGAGGTTAGACGTGCACGATCGCGCATGCACGCAACCGCACATATATCAATCGAACGCGACAAAGCGTGAGAGAAAGGTATAACGACTTAGCACGATGAACGAGCAGCGCAAAAAAATTCTTCGTATCTTTTCTTCGTGCAACTTTTCCGCGAATTTCGTTCTCTCTTTTTGTTTTGACTCGAAAAACGTGAGATTGTGTCTCGACGAAAATAAAATGTCTCGAAAGTTTTAGTCATCGAGAATTTTTCTCACTGTCGCCAGCCTACATTCAACAAAACGTTTGATTTCAAACTGTTGCTTCTTGGCTAGAATCGATGCCATTTTCCTCCTATTATCACCAATTATATATTATAGTATTTGTTTTACTTCAAGTGGTATTGATTTAAAATAAATCAATGCAAATTATGTACCATATACTACAATATAGAAATATGAGATTCTTAACACGAAACGACTATTTGGCTTTGGTCCTCGAGTATTCATTTTTGTTTTGCTGATATTTTTATCCCACATGTAATACTGATGAGAACTGAATGAAAACAAACGAATAAGGAAGAATAAAATAAAATTAGAAATTTTCGATTTAAAATTAATTATGTTGAGTTTGATTTAATTCTCATTATATAATAAAAATATTTTAAATAAAAAATCAAAATTAAATTTTTTCTATATATATAAATACCAAATAACAATAAAAAAAGCCTTCGAATTCCTATTGAACAGGAAGAATTAAATTATAAAATTAACAGATTTTAAGGCGATTTCTTAAGTAAGAATATACAAAGTTACGAACTGCTAATTATAGAGCTCTACATATACTATATATTCGAATTTTTTTCATGAATATCGAAATTCGATATTAAATTACGATAAGTATAATTATTCTTTTAATTTCTTTAATGCTTAAATTTCCAATTTCTCTTCTAGTATTTATCCACGTTCGTCATTGTGAACAAAATGAAAGGTAATGAAAACGAAAGGTTAGAGAATTTCGTATCCTTAATGCGCTCGCAGCTGGTCTCGAGTGTCATCGCTTATAACGAATAAATATTGCATTGCACGGATATGCGATCGTTAATCGATACGACGAAGCATTATCTAATTAATTATACGATAGATTAACGGGTTAACAAATTAATTCAACGCGCGACATAATAATTTATTTTGCATTGTCCCGTAATTGGTGGGCTGAATGAAAGAGAAAGCTTTCCGTGAATCGCGGCTCGGCGAAAAGGGAATGCAAATTATTCTCGGATCCTGCGCCTTATTTGTCACCGTTGCCGGATAGATTAAGCCTCGGACACGGATCTAAATAACATCCGCTCGGCGCGTTAATCGAACGACAATAAAACGTTACGTCGTAATATTATCCTCGAAAAATGTTATTTCCTGCTGACTATATAATTGTTCACATTGTTACGCGAGTGTGCGATGACTTGCAGCCGGAAAAGTTATTTTAATTTTACACCATTGAAAATAAATATTGTTAATGGTTATTTAATTTTAATGGAGTTAGGTTAGATCGATGGATTTAGAAAATCGAATAAGTTATGAAATTAATTTTTATATAGCTTTCTTTATATATTTTATTTACTTTTAAACAGTTTTTAACCTATGAATGTATATATTTATAATTAATTCACTGGAAGTATTCTGTATGAACATTTCAAATCCATCATTTTTTTAATATATTGTATAATCTTGTATTTTATATATCCTTTTTACAGAATAT